ATAAATCTAAAATTCTATACCCAGAGAAAATACCTTCCAAAAACAAAGGCAAAAAATACTTTCTCAGACATCCAAGAGATGAAAGAATGCATCACCAACAGACCAGTACTACAAGCAATATTAAATAAAGTCCTCAAGTCAGAAGGACCATGAAAAAACAATAGAAATCTGGATTTATACAGAGGAATGAAGAGCACCAGAAATGATAAACATGTAAGTAAATATAAAATTTTTTTCCTTTTTATCTCTTTACAAAATTGTTTAAAGCAAAAAAAAAAAAGCAATGTACAGTGGGATTAATAACAATATATAAGTGAAATTGTGACAATAACATTATAAAGGCACGAGGGAGTAAATGAAAGTATACTACTGTAAGATTCTTGAACTATGTGTGAAGTGGTATAATACCACTTAATAATAGACTGTAACAAGTTAAAGATGCATGCCATGAATCTTAAAGCAACCACAAAAAAGAGTTATAGCTAATAAACTAACAAAGGAAACAAAATGTAATCATAAAACTGACTCGGTCCCAAAGAAGTCAGGAAAGAAAGTAAAATGGGAAGAAAAACATGGGACAGATTGAAAAAGAAAATAGCAGATGAAAGAGTTAAACCCAACTATACTAATAATCATATTACATCTACATGGTCTAAACATCCCAATTAAAAAGAAGAGATCATAAAACTGGATTTTACAAAATGCAAAACCCATCTATATGCTACTTACAAAAGACCTTCTTTAAATACCAAGACACAAACAGTTTAAGAGTAAAAGGATGTAAAGAGATACATCATGCTAACACTAATTTTTTAAATTCCTACCCATTGTTTAATTGTGGTAAAACATACATAAAATTTACCATCTTCAGTATTTTAAGTGCGCAGCTCTATGACAGTAAGCACATTCACACTGTTGTACAACCATCGCCGCCATCCAGCTACAAAACTGTTTCATCATCCCCAGTGGAAACTCTGTCCCATTAACTCCCCATTCCTCCTCCCTCCCCTCCCTGCAGGGCCTAGAAACCACCACTCTTCTTGCTGTTTCTTACCAATTTATTCTAGGGACCCTGGATAAGAGAAACCATGCAGTATTTCTCCTTTAGTGGCTGGCTTGTTTGACTGACTTCTTCAAGCTTCATCCATGTTGTAGCATGTGTCAAAATTTCCTTCCTTTTTGAAGCTGAGTAATACTCTATTGTAGGTATGTACCACATTCCGTTTACCCATTCATCTGTCAATAGACACTTGGGTAGCTTCCACCTTTTGGCTATTGGGAATAATGCTGCCATGAACATTGGTGTACAGATATGTCTGAGTCTCTGCTTATCTCTCTTTAGGACATATACTCAGAAATGGAATTGCTGAATCATATGGCAATTCCACAGTTAATTTTGTGAGGAATTGCCAGACTATTTTTCATTGCAGCTACATATGTTACATTCCCACCAGCAATAAATGTTTCAATTTCCCCACATCTTTGCCAACACTTCTAATTTTTTTTTTTATAATAGCCATCCTAAATGGTGTAAGTGGTACCTCATTGCCATTTTGAGTTGCATTTCCCCAATGACTAGTGATGCTGCAGATCTTCATGTGCTTAACTGGTCATGTGCGTAACTCCTTTGGAGAAATGTCTAGTCAAGTCCCTTGCCCATTTTAATCAAGTTGCTTTTTTGTTGTTGAGCTGTAGGAGTTCTTTATATATTCTGGATATTAATCCACTAATGCTAATTTTTAAAACCTGAATGGACTATAATGAGACAAAATAGATTTTGGAGCAAAAAAAACATTACCAGGGATTAAAAAGGTTATTTCATGATAAAGGAGGTCAATTCATCAAAAGAACATAACATTCCAAAATGTTTATGTTCTTAACAACAGAGATTCAAAACAGAGGGAGCAAAAACTGATAAAACTACAAGGAGAAATAGAAGGCCACAATTATAGTTACATTTCAATGCCCCTCTTTCAATAACTGATAGAACAAGTAGATAGAAAAGGAGTAAGGACACAGAAGAATTATAACAGCACTAGCAACAAACTTGACTTAATTAATATTTACAGAACACTCCACTCAATAGCAACAGAAAATATATTCTTCTCAAGTGCTCATAGAACATTTATGAAAGTAAACCATATCCTGGGCCATAAAAAGTCTCAGTAAATTCAAACGATTCAAATCATACAATATACATCATATGTTTACAAAGAAATTAAATTAGAAATCAGTATTTACTGGACAGAAAGAGAATAAAGTAACACTAAAATGTTGACTTTGACTCTTTTACTACTTCTAATCCTGCTAAGGAGGGAGCAGATAAATTACCAGTGGGACTAAAAGTATTTATATGTCTTCCATGCTATGCATACTTGACCTGGGTTATTTGTTTACCATACATGGATGAGTCTCTCCCTCTCTCCTCTCCTCTCCAGCCCATCCTAAGCCCCAGGGGACCCACTCCATCAGCCCCTGACAAATCATGACAAACCTGTTTGGTATTTGCCCAAATCTTTCACAAACTTGTGAAAGGGAAAAACTTACGAGAGGTGAAAGAAGTGCCGTGGAGGAAGCACCCGCTAAACAACTCAGTCTTTACAGCTCTCAAAACCTCAGAGACTATTGCCATTACAGAGATCTCATTGATAAGATAGAGCTTTCCGGGAACAAATCAAGACTCCTCTGAAACCTCTAGACCCTAACCAGAAACAAGAGCATTTCCAAACAACATAGATTCAATCAGATTAAAACAAAGTCTTCAAAAACCAGATTAGGTCAATCCGGAAAAACCCTACTAGTACTGGCCAACAGTGTTCAAAGATGATTCATATGGCCAGTTACACCCATGCCCTTTTAGGATTTAGGTCAGATTTGCCAATTTCACAGCCATAAGGAAAAAGAAAACTAGATTCCCTAGGAAAATGATCACTTCCAAGCTCAGCAAATCTACAAACTTCTTCAGGTAGTGTGCTTCCCAAACTTTCCTTATCATGTAAGAATCACCCAGTGTCTATGTTAAAATTACAGATTCCTGGGACCCCCACCAGACAGTCTAAGCAAGAAGCTCCAGATGTGTGGCTCTGGATTTTTAATAAGCATCACAGATGATTCTTGAGGTCCAGCAAGCACATTAGCTTTGTACTTTGTACTTTGATTCTTGAGGTCCAGCATTAGCTTTGAAATGAGACTAACAAGTTAAAAATTCCAACTCAGCCACTTACCAGCTATGTGACCCTAGCCAAATTATCTACCATCTTTACGAACTCACTTTTCATCTGTAAAATGGGATCAGCACCTACCTTGAAGTGTTCTCAGAGTTCAGGATATTCACAGTCCTCTGAACAGTGCCAAGAGTACATGCAGCCGAGCAAGAAATCATTATTGCTGCTTAAACAGCTGTCACCAGTAGCTGCCCAGTTAGGTAAAACTGTTTTACCTAATGGAAATTATGAAAGGCACCAAACCACATTTCTGAGATAATATAGGGAAAAAAGCTTTTCTGGGCATTATGACCAACAAGAACAAAGACTCTCGCTTCAGTGTCTGGTATTTTGCCCCAAGTCCTCACTCCCATCCAGAACCAGCGGGCAGCCCTATACAGGGCTGCAGCTTTGGGCAACAGCCAAAAGAAGGCTTTCCTTCCCAAATCCCTCTGTCGCCATCACCTTCAGCTCAAGGGCTGACAGTCGCAGACCTGAGAGTCAGGTGGCAGCATCTTGGGTCAACCAGCAGGAAATAAGACTCTTGGATAAAAGGCAGGGAGCCCAATCTATGGCACGGCAAAGACCTGAGTCAGCAACAAGATTACTGGGATACTGCTGAAGCAAAGGGGATGTGACTGTGAAGTTTCCAGAGCTAAAGGTGGGCATTACTCAGGGGAGTGAGTCCAGACACTGTGTTGCTGAAAAAGCACTGACCTGTCGTAGGGGCTGAGACCCTGAAGTATGGACTGAACTCTGCCACTCACGCACAACATAGCCCCAGGTCCCTTCTTCCCTCACCCGTAAAGTGGGAAATCAGCACCTCCCTGGATGTGGGAAGGAAATGAGGAGGAACCAGACACCTGCTGGAGATATACAATACAGAGGGTCCCGACTTCCGATTTTCGACTCTGTGATGGTGCAGTAGTAATAAATTATGAGATATTCAAGTTTATTATAAAATAGGCTTGTGTTCAATGATTGTGCCCAACTGTAGGCTAATGTAAGAGCCCATTTAAAGTAGGCTAAGCTACAACGTTCAGAAACTTAGGTGTATTAAATGCATTTTGAATTCTTTTCCGTTTACAATGGCTTTATCAGGACGCAACTTGTTTTAAGTCAAGGAGTCTATGTATCTATAGTATACCTATACATACATTCACACCCCCACTGCCCTTTGTACCCAGGAAGCACCAGGCGCATACTATACTGGACATAGACATACACACACCAGTGCCCTCGGGACCCAGCAAATCCAGGGATAAGGATTGGTCAGTGATGCTGGTCAGTCCAAGGTTGGGTCCAGAAAAAAGTGTAAGAACAGAGTCAAGGTTTAAAAGCCCATTCCGTCACGGCCCTGGAGAAACGGCACAAGTCAAGGATTCAAAGACGAGAGTGACCCGCCGACCCCGCTCTGCCACTCGGATCCCACTCTTGGGCCTACTACCCAACCTGTACAATGGGCAAACTGGCTTTACCGTGACCAGAACTGTGACCAGCAAAATGCTCAAACCAGGGGGTGGAAGGTGAAGGGTGGCGGTGAGAGGGGCGGGGCTGGAGGCGCAACCTGCGGGGTAGCAGGGGCAGCGCCTCGCGCCCTCCCCTCACTGCCTGCCTCCCCTCACTGCCTCCCTCCCACTGCGAGGGGCAGAGGAACCAGACCTCAGCGGCAGTCACGCGCCCCTCGCGCCCAATCACCGGCCTTTACCAGAGTGAGGCGGGAAGGAGGGGGCGCGCCGGTGGCAATTGCAGCGCCACCCCCGTCCCGGTCCTCGCCCCTCCCCAGGTCTCGCTCACCTGCCCCTGCCGCCGCCGCTGCCACAGCCGCCGCGGGTTAAACCACAGCCCACGCCCACACTTCCGGGGTCCGCAAGGCCCGCCCACTCTTGCCGGATGTGACACCCCTCCAACGTCCGGCTCTAGGAGCTGAGCCCACGCCGTTCGTCCTGCTACCACGTTGGGCACCTCACGTTCCTCTGAGTCACGACACAGGCCCTCCTCACCAGACACACTCTCGGGCACGAGGGACCACACCCACGGGAAGGTTCACGAGACCCCGCCCGGACGGCTGACACCAAGCCCCGCCCCCTCAGGCTTTTGGCTCCGCCCCGAGGAGGGAACACCGCCCACAAAGTGGAGGCTGGCCTGCCTCCAGCAAGTGCGCCTGCGCAGATCTTCCGGATCTTTTTGGCTGGGCTGGCCAGGTTTTTCTCTTTTACAGGGCTCAGCTTGGGGGAGGCAGCTCGAAGCAGACCAAGGGGCCCCAGAGAAAACGAATGGAATGCCAGCACCTAGATGGCCTGAGCTCAGACTTCAGAACCCCCACGCTAACCAAATGCTCGGTTCCGGGACACCGTTTGGCCCCAAAGTCCGCTTGACCACAGACTTCCAAGTGTCTCCTGGAAAACAGCAGTGCCTCTCAGTCTGGAACTGACTGGCAGGCTCCGAAAAACAACTCTTGAGTAGTTTCCCCTAGAGTAATCTGTTTCCCAAGGCCCTCGATTACACTTTTTAGTCCATCTGCGTGGGTGGTGCTATTAAAAAATCACATGCGTCCTTATACGTCGTCATTTGTCCAGAATCACGAGGCTGAGGGCCCGCCCCCTGTGAAGGAGGGTCCTGATGGTTGTGCTCTCTCCTCCAGGCGCTTGTACTGGACAACAAGGTATGGAGGTGAATCCCATTCCAGGTTTTGCCTCTCAGCAGAGCCCAAAATTGCAGCTTTGTAAAAATGGGACTCCAGGAGGAGAGCTTCAAAAACTTATTAGATGTTGAATTAAGACTGTCATTGCTAATGACGGAAATCCAACGCAATCCAGCTTCTGCAAAATGGAGATCATTGGGTCACATAACCACACAGTCCAAAGGCTGTAGTCTGTACTCAAGGACTCATCCTTCTTACTTGACTGTTCTTTGTCTTGTATTATCACTCTTTCAGCAGATAGGCTCAAGATTTGTATCTCAAATTCTAGAGAGAATGGAACTGATTGGTTATAATAATTGGATAGAGCGTCCCCTTTCTTGCCGTCTCATAGGCTGCCAGGTGGCCTGTCAATTAACCACCTGGAGTCTGGTGATCACCCTTCTCCAATCAGCGATCACCCCTTAAAGGCCAGAAGGGATCAGCCAGGAAGGCAATTCCAGCTACTGTTTCTTCTGAGACACCAATGACTCATTTGAGGGATGCCATGGTTGGTTTTGCAAATACTTCACTTTAAAGCTAATGTCAGAGTGTCTCCCGTTGACAGCAGCTGCCAGAAAGCTGGGTTGAAACTGGGTTCTGAGGGGTGGGGAGGACCAAGGCAGATGACATTAACGTTCTGTCCTAACACCTTTTGTGCTGTATGATTTTTGACCCTGTGCATGTATTACTTTGTAAAACATTAGTGATAGATTAGCTTCAGTCTCACATATTCACTCACTGGTACTGTGTTGAAATGTGGATTATGGATATGATGCTGAAACTACAGTAGTCGTATCGAGCCATGAGGTGACTGTGGGAATGGAGGCCATACCTGGTGCCACAACAAAACAGGCAGAGCCTGAGTCCTGATACCATGGAGCACCCTGACACTGCTAGATGCCCACCGCTGTGCTTCTACAGGAGAGGGAAATGAGCCACTCTGTAAGCCACTGTTGTTTTCTGTTTATGTCGCTCCCACACTTTCCGTATTAGACTCCATTCCTGGAACGCCCCTATTGTACCCCCAAGGCAGGGTAAGTGCCCAGTCCCTGTATGTTCTTCAAATATCCCACATATTTTCCTTTCTTAACATTTACTACATTCACTCCCCCTGGATAGTGACTTCTGTAAGGACAGAGATTATTGTATAGGTCATTTTACACAGATGCTAGAACAATGACAAGAGTAACTTGTAAATGTGAGAGACACAATGATTCCACCGGGGCTGTTGAGGGGAAACGGAAAACCGCTACATAGTCTTCATTCAATGGGTCATTGCCAAGTTCGTCTTTGGTTAGCGGCGGGGGTGGGTGGCAGCCAGCCCTTCTGAATAACCAAAGCTAGTGAATAAGAGCAAAGGAAGGAGGGCAAAAAAAAAAAAAAAAAAGGGCAGGAAATTCGAGTCATCTGAGGCAGGTGGCATTGGAAGAGTGTTCTGCCTGCCTTGTTTCCTGCTGTTTGCCACTGCTGGCCTTTCCAGCCCCGAGCCCGCACCTCAGATCTACCCCACCCGCCTTGTCCTGGCCTCCTTTCGCTTGCATCTATGCCATGGTATACCAGGCCTCGATTACACACAATTTTATTCATGTTCAGAGTGGCTATGATACATGGTGAGACAGACAGACAGACAGAGGGACAGTCATGCACTCCACGTGTTCACTGAATACCTGCACTGCTAAAACCTATGGGCACAAAAATGAACAGATAGCATCTCCAATCTCAGGAAACTCACATTCTTGGTTGGGATTTGAGAGGAAGCAGGAGGTCTTCCTATTCCAAGTCGTTTGAAAAGAAGCATAGCCATATGGTATATATAATACCCAGTTTGGCCTTCAGATCTTCAGTGAAGACTTTTGTCTTTTTTTCTTTTTTCTGAAGTTGGAAGTCAGATCCGTCTGGCTGATTTCTCACTCTCGCTCCTTCCTTCTGGATTCCATGCTGTTGCATCAGTTCAGCCAGAAGGGAATTGCACCTCTGATACAGGGACTGGTTGCTACCTACAGAACTATCCATTCTCTGGTTTTCCTTAAAATCAGAGTGTATTTTATTATAGAGCAATGGGCCCAGTCGCTAAAAGACTGCATTTTGCAACTTCCTTTGCCTTTAGTTATAACTGGGTGACTCTGTGATATACGCAGGGTATGGAGAGGGATTTCTTAGGAAGGTGCTTGAAAGGAGCCGATCCAGCTAGGAGGTGAGTCTTTCGCCCCCACCCCACTTTAACTGCTGTCTAGATTTCAGATGTGATGGCTGAAACCCCTGTGGCTGTATTGAACCATGAGGTGTCCTTGGAAGTGGAAACCATTCAAGCTCTGGATGGCCTACCTCTAGATTTGTTTTAAGTGGGAGGAAATAATCAAGTTTTACCTAGTTTACATTATGGTTCTTTCGCCTTTTGTAACATGCACCCAAACTTAAACCTGATACTACTGTGTGGTTAATATGGTACAGCTTTATTATTATTATTTCATTGGGTTTAGAAAATAAATTTACATTTCATGCATTTCTTGTCTTTATTATTTAAACTTATGCAGAACCTATACATATATGAACCCTTGTATAAATACAAAATTAGGATTATAAATATGCTTTCCTAAAGTATAGTTTTTGGATTTTTTCTTTTTTCTTTTTTTGCTTGGTTTCCCCAATTATTAAAGCCTAGTATATGTCTTCTCCTATAATCTTATCCAAATGTATCTACAGGCCAAGAGAGGTTGAAGGGCAGGGTGGGAAGGACCAAAGAAGAATAAAGTAGACACATGTGAATCAAGGGTAATGGCCATTGTTGCCTCTCAAATATTCTATAACAGGAGCACACACACACACAGCTCGACACTCCCCCACCAGGTTTGCCACGACTGTGGAATTTACATTGGCACACGGCATGTGAGTAGAGGTGAAGTGCGTCACTTCCGGGTGGAAGTCTTTGAGAACCGGAGTCCAGTTTGCTGTCACCCCCCTTCCCCTGCCTCAAGAGGGAGCAACCCTCAGCTTTTCTCCCGCAGCATCTGTGAGGAGCAGGGCTCCCTGCCAACCTGTGTTGGATGTGAAATTCGGGGGTTGTTTGTCTTCCCAGTGTATGTAACTCAGGGTATCTTAACTGAAACAGGACGGTACAGCAGGGTCTGCTAATTGTCTCCTTCTTCCTTTAGTAATCAAACCCCTGGCCTAGGGCCATTCAGCTAAAGAGTACACTCCCTAGAGTCTCTTTCACCTGAAAGTGCCCTTATGACTTCCTTATAGCCAATGAGATGTGAGTGGAAGAATTATTTACAACTTCTGGTTGTGTCCTTTGGGGACAGGGGCATATCCTGCTTTCCTTCCCTATTACAGCTGCAATGCAGATGTAAGGACTGGCGCTGGAGCAGCCACATCAGACCAATAGATGAGTATCCCGTGGTGAAGATAGCAAAGCAACAGGGAAGAGTTTGGGTCCCCCCTCACAGTGGAGCTACCTGGAACTGTTGCATGAGAGAGAAATGAAAGTGTATTTTATTTACGCCTCTGCTGTTTAGGCTTTGGTTATAGCAGTGGAGTCTGTAACCTGATACCTGTTACTCAATACCTAACCTGTGTATTAGCCTTGTCTTAACAATTACATTGTGGGGGAAAGAGACTGTATCTACTTCCATAGGCCTATGAATGAGTCAAGTGAGATCTCTGCCCTCGAGAACATGTGATCTAGCAGGGCTTTCAGAAAACCAAGCCAGGGCAAAGCCACATGGCAGGGAAACTTCAAGGTGCTCTAGGAACACATGGGAGGGGAAGCTAAACTAGTCAGCTGCCTGAAGAAGGGACTGTTTTAGGTCAGGCTTCCCAGAAGTAGCCCATGGGATGAAGTTTCATGGACAAGTAATTTATTTCAAAGTTGCTCCCAGGAAAATCAGTGATGGAGCAGACAAAGCAAGACAGAGAAGGGATAAGATCCAGCAAGGGTGTGATTTCATGCAAGTTCTGCAGAGGGAAGCAGTCGCCTGCTCCCACAAAGAACTCTGGAATATAAATGGAACCTCAAAAGCATGGAACCCACAAGCAACTCCCAGCCATTGGCTGGGGGCCACAGGTGCCTATGGCATCAGGAATCCCACCAAGGCTTCAGGGAGGAGCCCCCCTACTCTGGCGAGGCAAAGACACCTTAAATGTAGGGTGACGCCATTGCTGATGA